AAAACTGAGTTGCCGGACTGACGGATGGACAGACAGACAGATGGACAGACGGACAGAGTGCAAACCTAAAGTCCCTTTAGACTTCGTTGGTAGGGGACTAAAATGAAAAAAAAAGAAAATGAATATGTTTTATTTGATTTTATTCCCAAGTATTTCGACCGGTTCTGGTTAATAATGGTAGTGTAGTCCTGAGTTGATCTCTACTTACCAATCAATTCTACTATAATTCATTGGCTATGCAAATTTTCTTTCTTCTAAATTTCTTATATTTATAAAGTGAAATGTCACTTAATACTAGTACATGTTAAAATTGATAATATTTTGACCCCGAGACTAATAAAGGAAAAAAGTGCCCTGTTTTGTGACAGTTTATGATATAGAGTGGTACAAAACACTAAAAAGAGAAATCAAAACATACAAACAATAGACCAGAATCTCCTGGACTTGCATTCCCGGTACCGCCAGCAGGAAATAGGGAGGGATTTTTTTTTATGTCAGAAGCCTATGATATAAATTTCAAGCCCGAACTGAATTGTTAATAATGCCATTGCCGAGTTTTAAGCTTTATGACAGCGCTTTGTGTTTTTTTTTTTACACTTAAAAGATGCTTTAAACTTTGTGCTTTATAAACTCCACATTTTATCCTGATTGTAATCCTACTTCATCCTCCCCGTGCACGTGGTGAGCAGGGGTAACAGATTATATCTCGCAAACGGAAAAGGTTCTCCTTCATCATTCTTATTTATTTTTGCTCAAATGTCCTATGCTTATTTCTATTTTCGCTCAATGTCCTAAAATTTCGGCGCTCAAATGTCCTATACTTTGGCACTCAAACGTCCTTTTTTTATCGCTCAAATGTCCTTTGCCGCAAAAAAACATGTCCCTCAAACTGGTGCTAGGGGCAGTCTTAAAACTGCAGTGAGGTGAGTTTTTTTTCTCCGTGTTGAAGGCCTCACTGTGACTTTGCTTTTTGTGTGTCGTTTTGCTGTGCATGTACTGATTAAGTGTCATGGATGGATACCCCATATCCTTTGTTTTTATATGTACACTTTACAATCATACCATACACCAACTATTGTGTGCCTATTGCTTTAATATAGTATATGAGAAAACTTTTTTGAGTGTTATGGAAAAAGAAGCTTCTCTGTGTAATGTTGACAAATGCTCGTTGGGTGGAATTACGCTCCCCACCCCCCTTATCAAAATCCTTGATCCGCATCTGTTTAGGATTAATTTTTGACAGCAACTGAACGTTGCATAAGCATATTAAAAATTTACAAACTAAGTCCATGCAAGTTATAAATTGTATGACATTATTTACAGGAACAAGATGGGGTGTAATCAACCATATACATTTTTTTTTATCTTTGATTGGATAAATCAAAGCACGAAAGCGCTGTAAAGGCAGTTAATTACAGGTTGTGTGTATTTTAAGTCCAGTTATATCATTATCTTGCATAGTACAGTGTACTTATCAGAGGTGGCTTTCAGTATTTAAGATTTAGAGTTCTCTAATGATATTGAATAAGTTTTATGAATGTCATATTCTGAGCACTATATGAAGGCGATTGTTCTCACTTGTTTATGAACTAGTGCATTATGTCCAGTTTGTACCTTTTTTATCTATGTTTATAGTCAAATTAGTTATCAAAGGTACCAGGATTATAATTTAATACGCCAGACGTGTGTTTCGTCTACATAAGACTCATCAGTGACGTTCAGATCAAAATAGTAACAAAGCTAAACAAGTACAAAGTTGAAGAGCATTGAGGACCCAAAATTCCAAAAAGTTGTGCCAAATACGGCTAAGGTAATCTATTCCTTGGATAATAAAATCCTTAGTTTTTTCATTGGCAATCATAACACATCTCCTTATTTATATAATGATCTATATTCAACGACCTCAGGTACAAAAAAAATGTATGTAACTAAACTATGATGGGAAACCTTTGACTTCTTTCTTTATATAAACTTTTGATTTGGTACCATAGAACTATGTAGAGTAAATGTACATTGCAACATGTCAACTCTTTCAACTCCAAGCAAAATTATATTTCCAAGCATAAAGTAATTTATGAATGAAATAAAATGCTCCGCTGGGGCGCAGCTTGATACGACCGCAGAGGTCAAACCCTGAACAGTTGGGGCAAGTATGAACACAACATTCAAGCTTGATTCAGCACTGAATTTGGATTGTAATTAAATATTTGACATAGCATAGGTTTCTGACACAGAATGAAAATGGTCTAAGATACTTAAAAAAATTTAATTTACCTATTCAAACCATATCATTATATATAAATCAGAAATAACCAATTTAAAATGGAAAATTTTAAAGAAAAAAAAGGAAAAAGAATCCCCCCCCCCAAATTTTTTGAACCCCCTTATGATTCATCACCCCAAAACTCAATCCCAGCCTTCCCTTTGTGGTATGGTACCTTGCAGTACAATTTCAGAGAGATCCATACACTTGAACACATGTTATTGTCTGGAAACTAGAAAAATGCTTGTTTTTTGGCCCCTTTTTGGTCCCAAATTCCTAAACGTTTAGGGCAATTACCCCCAAACTCAAACCCAGCTTTCCCTTTGTGATATGGAACCTTGTAGTACAATTTCATAAAGATCCATACACTTACACACAAGTTATTGCCATGAAACTAGAAAAATGCTTGTTTTTTGCCCCTTTTTGGCCCCTAATTCCTAAAATTTGGAGGCAATTACCCCCAAAATCAATCCCAGCATTCCCTTTGTGATATGGAACCATGTGATACAATGTCAGAGAGATCCATAGACTTACACACAAGTTATTGTCATGAAACTAGAAAAATGCTTGTTTTATGCCCCTTTTTGGCCCCTTATTCCTAAAATTTGGAGGCAATTACCCCCAAAATCAAGCCCAGCATTCCCTTTGTGGTATGGTACCTTGCACTACAATTTCAGAGAGATCCATACACTTGAACACAAGTTATTGTCTGGAAACTAGAAAAATGCTTATTTTTGGCCCCTTATTCCTAAACTTTTTGGGCAATTACCCCAAAAATCAATTCCAGCTTTCCCTTTGTGATATGGAACCTTGTTGTACAATTTCATAAAGATCCATACACTTACACACAAGTTATTGCCATGAAACTAGAAAAATGCTTGTTTTTTGCCCCTTTTTGGCCCCTAATTCCTAAAATTTGGAGGCAATTACCCCAAAATTCAATCCCAGCATTCCCTTTGTGATATGGAACCTTGTGATACAATGTCAGAGAGATCCATAGACTTGCACACAAGTTATTGTCATGAAACTAGAAAAATGCTTGTTTTTTGCCCCTTTTTGGCCCCTAATTCCTAAAATTAAGAGGCAATTACCCCCAAAAATCAATCTCAGCATTCCCTTTGTGATATGGAACCTTGTGGTACAATGTCAGAGAGATCCATACACTTACACACAAGTTATGTCTGGAAGTTACAAAAATGCTTATTTTTGGCCCCTAATTCCTTAACTGTTGGTACCATAACCCCCAAAATCAATCCCCACTTTCCTTTTGTGGTATTGAACCTTATTTTAAAATTTCATTGAGATCCATTCACTTAAACTAAAGTTAGAGTGCGAAAACTAATGTGTCTTCGGACGAACAACGCTGGACGACGGCGACGCCAACGTCATACCAATATACGACCACAAAAATTTTTTTGCGGTCGTATAAAAAGGAGTTCTTAATTAAGAAATAAACTGATTCGCTGAGCGCAGCTGGATACACCCGCAGAGGTACTACACTGAACAGCTGGGGCAAAAATGGACACAATATTCAAGCTTGATACAGGTCTGAATTTGGATTGTAATTAAATATTTGACATATTATAGTTTCTGAATAAATGTAGTCAATGAACTTGAAATCGGTTATATGAATTGAATTTATATTCAATTAAAGATTTCTTGCTGTTGTGCAATACACTGTGCTGTTGTGCAATACTTAATAAATCTGTTGCCAGACTATAAACAAATAAAGTTCAATTTCTTCTCAATGTCATATTTGAAATTTATGAAAATCAATAGGGAGATCACATCAATAGCTATAAATAATTCACCAAAGTTTCATGTGAACTGCTTAAAGCATTTTTGAGTTGTTGTCCAAAAACTGGAAAATCCCCCCTTTTTTAATGAATAAAACCCCATAACTCAGAAATGTAAAATCTAAAATTTATAAAATTCTAAAGGGAGCTTACGGATTGATAATTTAGTCTTAGATGCAAGATTTTTTTATCAGTTGTTAGTGGCTTTGAACTAGCTGTCAGTAACTGCGAGTACTCTCAGATTTGTACTTAGTGTCTTTTTGTTGTTTGGATGTACAACTACCCGACCACGTCCACTTGTATTTGTATTTATCCATCTGATGAGTTTAGCCTCTTTCAACTGATTTTTATAGTTCTTTCTTATATTGTACTGTTACACCTGGCACTGTCCCAGGTTAGGGGGAGGGTTGGGATCCCGCTAACATGTTTAAGCCCGCCACATTCTGTATGTACATGTATGTGCCTGTCCCAAGTCAGGAGCCTATAAAAGTGTAATTCAGTGGTTGTCGTTTGTTTATGTGTTGCATATTTGTTATATTTGTTCATTTTTTTACATAAAATAGGCCGTTAGTTTTCCTGTTTGAATTGTTTTACATTGTCATTTCTGGGCCTTTTATAGCTGACTGTGCGGTATGGGCTTTGCTCATTGTTGAAGGCCGTACTGTGACCTATAGCTGTTAATTTCTGTGTCATTTGGTCTCTTGTGCATGTGTGGAGAGTTGTCTCATTGGCAATCATACCACATCTTCTTTTTTATATTTACATCAACAGATATAAAAAATTCACCAAAGTCAAGGTGAGACAACAAAACTTAGTTGTAAGATCTCTGAAATTTTTTACAGGGTACGAGTTTTTCTCATTGTTGGAGATTGTACGGTGACAGTAACACCTGTAACTGCTTAAACCCATTTCTTATGCACTTTAGTTTGATAATCTCACTGAATATCATACCACATCTCCTTATTTTTATATGCATTACAATTTACATGTGCATGTAATTGTAAATATATATATATCAGAACAAAATGCATTGCGTCACTTTTATTTATGCATCCTTTGGCACAATACAAGTTCTAAAATTACACAACATAACACAACTAAATGTTATTTCACATGAAAGTTTTGTTTCCGTTGCATTCATAGGATTTATTAGAATTTTGTATGTTTTGCCAAGTCCAATAATTCACTCTATGTGACATAGAGACATAGTTGACTAAACCACCAGGTGTCGAACATTCAAGAATTTTCAGTGTTTCTGTTTTTATTTGATGAAAAGGTTGCCTGAGCTCTAGGAGCTTTAGGTTTTATCACGGGATATTCTGTGCTGTCAATAATAATCCAAGTCGTAGGAAACTTTAATTTGAAGTTGGATGGTGAAAAATACTTGACTAAACCACTAGATGGCCAAGTGTTAGCCTCACACCACTGTTTAGACATAAAAACAATCCATGTATACACAATATTCTTAACACTAGATTCAATCTAGAATCTAGACAGTTCAAAGTTGGTTGTATGATGCCTCAATTTCATCAAAGTCATAAAAAAACTGATTTTCAACTGACACCCTATCAATTTGAAAATATATGTATCGCAAACAATGTGCTGCTGGACCAAGTGTGGTCAAAACAAATAAAAATTTAGTATACAACTCTAAACCGGTATAAAAATGCATGGCTGTGTCACGTGTCTTCATTTCAAAATTCTCTGCTGAAAACATAGGCATTGATGGTGTTTGCGTAATTCCATCTGTGAAGCTCAACATTAGCTCGGCAGTTGGTGGTGGACAGTCATAAATCCTTTCTGCAGTATGAATGACTTCTTCAGGAAAACCAACTTTACAATCAAAACTTTCCTCTAGATTTCTACTACAATATTCATCAAGTTTAGTTCTTTTGTTTTCACAGGAAACTGCCCTGATTTTTCTTTTTGCGGACGATTCAGTCTCTTGCTTGGTCCAGGAAAATAGGCTGGGAATTGCAGTAGACTTAAGTCTCTGTATGGTGGGTTTGCGCCCTGAAAAAGGTTATAAAACATTAGTTTTTTTATAATTAAATGAACTTCCATTAGCAATGTATACTTTGTACTACCTGGCGAAATATTAACTAGATTTATTCATTACAATCTGGATAAAACTATGTTTGCCTGATTCAATGTTTGTTATGTAAATCCAAAGGACAAACAATGAGAGACTTATGCAACAAACGTACATTGTTTGTACCTAAATAACTATAATATAGATAAGAGCATGTCATTGTTTTGTTCCTGTTAACATTGTCATTGATATTTTTCAAGAAAGTCTATGAGGCATAGCTTATGCATTCCTGTCATTACTACATTAGTAACTGTCATTAGCATAATTCATTTTTTGTAATTACTGCTAAAATAATTCTCAGTATGATATACCTCTTGTAAGAAATCATTATAATTGTAGCAATCACCAAAAAATCTCAAACAGATCACATTGAATCGTATTCCAAAAAATTATGACGTCTTGAATTACCCACCCCCTTTTATTCTAAAACGATAATTGCGGTTGTAAACAGACTTTGGTTTATTCGCATGGCGATTACATATATAACTATATATTTCACAAAGAAAATAGAGTTTTACCATGAATAGTTTCCTGCACGTAGTCTTTTTCAGTAAAACGTGCCTTGCAAACAACAGCTGATTGAGATGGACTCCACGATATCATCGTGTTCTCGTCCAATCTGCGTATGGGCCATGGCGTTGATCCAACTTTTCCTTCTTTTTAAGTCATTTGGAAATGCATGTCCTCCTCTTAAATGACATCCAGGTACACAACAACAAGTACTTGGCATCGTTAATTAAAAATATAACTGAAATAGTTGCACAGTGCAGAAACCGGAAGTAGATGAACAGGATCCGCTACCACGGCGCCACCTATTCACGAACGATAATTTGCTACTTTATATAACTGCGAAAATAACGTTAGACGGGTTCACGTGCATAAACAGAAATGCGCTTTAAATTGTATAATATAATTCATGTTCAGTCGACCTTTAATTATTATATCAACGACTGAAATGATTTATAAACATCTAGATTGCAGATAACACTCGAAATTAACCTGAGCTCTTTCCACACGGAATTCAATAATTCTAGTTTGTCAATCGGTTGACTGCTTATAATGCAAAATACTAATATATCAAAAGTTTTTAAAACTAACAAAACACAATGATCGTTTCTCTATTTCCCAATGTAAATGAAATGAAACAAAAAAAATTTTATATCGCAATAAGAAGAGGAGAGAATTCAACATTTCCGGATCTACTTGGAGTCTAATGACCCCCCACGTAGATAAGTTGGATATCGCGGAAGGAAGGATTAACCCGGCAACTAGAAAGGCATTAAAGCACTGCCTTTAAAAATTGAGTATGATTATGAAATGTGTATATAGTTCAGCTTCTTTTATAACTAAAAGATGTTTAAAATGTTACAGTCAAACTCAGGCATTACGTAAATGTACCGGCTCAATGAGATCTGCTCATTTGAAATCTTCACCAAGCTGAAATGGGTGACCTACCTCATAAAATTAGAAGACAGAGTCCGGCTAAAGATGCGGAACGATACTGATATTGTCTACCGTAAATAAGTTAAACTTTATTTTTACTCTAAAATTGTTTTTTCTTCTTCTGCAAATATATTTAATAGCTATAACTATTAAATATGCTTGCCGGAAAAAAATAATTGTTAAACAAAAACCCATGCTTTTTTACATATGTAAGCTGTCATTAATATTTTTATTTTAGATTATAATTGGAAGTTGAACAGTACTAGAAGAATTTTATAAAATATCTATTTTTGAATTTTTTTGAATTTATTTATTATTTTACATTTTTTGTTAAACAGTATAATATGAAAATTATATAATACATTGTATACAGGTCTAATTATATAACTTCCTAAAAACAACAATTTTAATTGCTATATAAACACCAAGCCCATCTATTGTTTAACACTTGTTGGATAAATGTGAGTTGGATTTTTCAAATGTTGGAGAACCATGAATAAACCTATTTTATTCAACCTATGCCAACCTTTTTTAATACAATCTTATACCTAAATTTCAAAATGTTGGCATAGGTTGAATGAACTGTTTATAGCATTCTGAAAATTAATCTATACAGAATATCAAATAAACCTACCATGAAGTTCTTCAAAAAATTTACAAAAAAATGAAAAAAACAATTTCCAAAATATCATTCTTCATTAATACAATGTCTCCAAGAAATCTATAAAACTTACTTTTAATTATTTTCAAAACATCCAATAATGAAAAGTAAATTTAAAACTATATTTATACATAATATCTAAAATGCTATATCTATTTTTAAGTATGAATCTACTAACAATTTCTATCAATTGTGCAATACAGTTCTGAATTTGGATTGTGATTAAATATTTGACATAGCATAGGTTTTTGACACAGAATGAATGTTGTCTAAGAACTATGACAGACGTTTAGATTTATGTCCCGTTTATATTGACCATATATTAGATAGTTACCTGTATACCTTATTACTTTGGACACGACATAGTTATTGACTGCTGTAAGTTCACTTCTTTATTAACATTATTTATATTTTTCACGTAAGTAACATCTAGTAAAGTTTCTATTTTCTTGTCTCGTTCTCCTCAGATCGCATGCATATAACACCAGTACGAAAGATGTACATGAGAGATTTTTATCAAGCTACGGGTATATGATTTTATAATCTACGGTTTATTTGTCACGGTAGAATTAGTTTGTTAATTTGCATGCATTACTATTTGATTATTGTCACGAATAGTCTATATTTTATAAATGGAGGTTTGCTGAACAAAAGACGGAAAAGTGTTTCCATTTATATAAATCAATAGTTTTGTATTGAATAGTTTATATAAAGTACAAATATGAATGAGTAAAGACTCGTATGCTCTTCCTAGAAGCGAAGAAATCCTGGACGCCTTGGGAGGAAATAACTATTATACAGTCATGGACATGAAGAGTGGTTATCACCAAGTAGAGGTTGAAGAGACACACAAGGCTAGAACAGTGTTTACAGTCGGCCCACTTGGTTTCTACGAGTTCAACAGACTTCTGTTTGGCCTCTTAACCAGTCCAGCAACCTATCAATGCCTCATGTCGCAAATACCTGGATATTTTCACCTAGATATATGCTTTATATACCTTGACGACTTGATCATCTTTTCCGAGACGTATGAGGAACATCTTGAAAGGCTACAGATGGTACTACAATGACTTAGAGCACACAACTTAAATCTTTCGCCCAAGAAATGTGCCTTCTTCAAAGACAAAGTCAAGTCCATCAGCCACAGAGTCTCAAAAGATGGTATTTCACCTGATCCAGACAAATTAAAGAAATTTACCAACTGACCTCGACCCACAATGCCAGAAGTTTGTCGCTTCCTTGGTTTCGTTGGCTATTACAACAAGTTTGACATAGACTTCCCCAAGATAGCAAGATTGCTCACAGACTTGATGCCTGCACCAAAGAAGTCCAGTAAGCGAAAACCTAAGAAGCCAATAGTAACATCATGGGTTTGGGACAAGCCACAAGAAGATGCCTTCCAGAAGCTCAAAAGTCAACTAGCGATTCCACCTGTTCTTGGTTATCCATGCTACAAGGAACCTTTTGAACTACATACAGATGCATCTATGCTTGGTCTTGGAGCAATAACAAGAAGGAAAGAAAAGAGTCATTGCCTATGCCAGCAGAGAACTTAGCAAGACTGAGAAGAACTGTCCATAAGTTAGAATTCCTTGCTCTGAAATGGTCAGTTACAGAAAAGTTCCATGATTACCTTTATGGCAACACATTTACAGTGGTTCCAGACAACAACCCATTTACCTATGTTTTAACAACAGCAAAGCTTGATGCCACTGGACATCGTTGGATAGCAAGTTTGTCATCTTACAACTTTAAGACTTCCATCGACCTGGGGCAAACAACGCTGATGCAGATGCCCTTTCCAGACTTCCAGAACTACTTGGTCGTACCAACACCTCCAACATTAGTACCGATTATGTGAAAGCCATTTGTCAGTTACATCACACACAACCCTACGTTCAGACGGTATCGATGACAACACTAACGCTACAGATGATCCATATTTACCATCACAGCATTTAGTTAACATCAAGATGGAACAAAAGAAAGATACCTACATCAAAGATTGGATATACTGGGTTGATGAACATCGATAGCCACGAAAAGAGCAAATAGAGCGAACACCATGGATTACTTGGTTTTTCAACAACTACGACAAGTTGAAAATGGTCGATGGCGTACTTTACTGTTTCATCCACGACAATGGGGAACAACATAAACAACTGGTATTACCTGAAGTCTGCATTGCCAAGGTACTCACAGCATTACATGATGAGATGGGACACCAAGGCAGAGATAGTTTCATTGGTTAGAGACCGTTTTGTTTGGTTTGGCATGAATCAAGATGTTGACAACTGGATCTCGAACTGCGACATATGCATTAGCCGAAAGCAACCTGCAAGTCACAGAGCGCCACTCATCAACATCGAGACGACACAACCCCTTGGGTTAGTGTGCATGGACTATCTCACACTTGAAAGGTCAAAAGGTGGATTTGAGAATATACTAGTGATAACAGACCACTTCACATGATACGCCTTGGCAATACCTTCAAGAAACCAGGCAGCAAAAACAACTGCAGACGTATTCTTCAACAAATTAGTCGTCCATTATGGTCTACCAGAAAGAATCCATTCCGATCAAGGTGCCAACTTTGGTTCTAAAATAATCAAGAAATTATGCAACATCACTGGTATGACGAAGTCAAGAACAACACCTTATCATCCAATGGGTAATGGCATCACTTAACCTTTCAACAGGACACTACTTGGCATGCTTGGTACCTTAGAAAACGTTCAGAAGAAAGATTGGAAGTCACATATTGCTGGTCTAGTCCATGCTTACAACTGTACACGTCAGACGTCAACTGGATTCTCACCATACTTCCTGATGTTCGGAAGACAGCCAAAGCCACCTATAGACATCGCCTTTGGTATTGGAGATGATGTTGAACCAGTTAAAACAACAAACAAAGTATGCAGAGGAATTGCAAGATAGACTATGCAAAGCCTACGACACAGCAACATCTTTGCAGCCCAGAAACACCAGAAGTCACATTACAACCAGAAAGTCAAAGGAGCTGTGCTTAAACCTGGAGATAGTCTTGGTCAAGACACTAGCTTTTGATTGAAAGCACGAGTTTGCAGACCGGTGGGAAGATGACCTGTATCGGATTATTAGTCATCCTAATTGTGGAATTCCAGTGTACATGGTACAAAAAGAGAACAAAGAAGGAAGAAAAAGGACACTACACTGGAATCTTTTCTTGCCAATTGGAGATCTGCCAGTAGATGGGGAACTACAGGTTCTGGTGACTTTTTGCTAAGTTTAACCCTATAATATAAAATTTTGACAAGTATCTAATGTAAACGTGTTTGATAATACCTACTGTTATAGAATGTGAACATTGTCTATTGTTTAATATCAAACTATTATCCATTCAATACGAAATATAATTTGAAAAAATATTTTATTATTTCCTTGATAATATTCACTTTTAAACTGAAATTCCTTCACTATAAAATTCATAACTGATAAACAAGATATTTTATGTTATTCAACACATTCTTTCGTTTTCATTAACCTGATGGCTTTATGTACACGGGCGAATGAACATTAATGTAAACAAATCAAATAATTCCTATCAATTTGTGATAATTTCAATGCCTAGATTTTTTTTTTAAACTGTCTAAAATCTGACATCCATGTCCATTAGAATAAACTTGTTTTATTTGTTAAAAAGTGGTTTTATTTGTAGATATTGTACACTACATCAGGAGCAAAGAAAATAACGTCTAATAGCTAAAACAGGTAAATCAAACTGAACTGATTATCGACCGAACAAAATTGCCGGATTCGAAATAAACCAATCAGATTACGTGAAATAGGGAATTTCCACATTTTATGCACAACCTCCTATATAAGCGACAAAAATTAAGGAGTTTAATCAGTCTTATCGACGACATAAAAAGGTGAAGCGAAGTCAGAGTTTACATCGATTTAAAGGTATGGTGCACCTAATAATCAACTATAAAGGTTTAGTTAAGGCTTGTATTATTACAATTA